TACAATCATTCCTCGAGCTAAATAAAATGACCAATTAAGAATTCGACAGAACGGAGCCAACAATTGGCTCCTTAACATTATTGTTCGACAGAATCTAAAGGAGCCCAAAAAGAGGCAAGACAAGAGCAAACTTTCCTAAAATATAAAACTCAAAGTTTTCCACCTACAATGAAAGCTCCACATTCTAACACATTTCAACATTCATCTCCAAAATACCTCGAGAGACCAAAACAAGCAAAGACGAGTCTTGGCACCAAAGGGGGAATAAAAACATGCAATTTTAGGGAAGTGGAAATGAAATTTTTGTCGGCGTGCAGAAAATTAGTAAGTGTTATTATGGGCTTATTAGGAAATCTTATAGATTATTAGAATGCTAATTATTTTAATTATGGGCTGATCTATATTTGTATGGAAATTTTGTAAATATGCACACAAATCTGGTTCTATAATTCAAATGAAAAATTTTGGAAAAAAAAACACATAACCTATTTAAAATGATTGAAATTTTCCAAATAAGCCACACAATTAATAAATGTATTAGCCTCAATATTTGACCAAAATAATTATTTATATTAATTTCATTAATTTTATTATTTTGAATTTTAAATAATTGGCCGCCACTTCTAAAAAATATTTTAAAAAATTTACTAATAATGGTAAGACTGGAATTCTTTGACGGGAGTTTAGTTATTCTATATATATATAATAAGAATTAACATTTATAAAAAATAGTAAGTTAATTTATGGTCAAACGCAGGTCTGCATTAATTCTTTTCCATAAATGGCAGGTTTTAATTCCTTTTCACACACTGCATTAATGACGCTTTAATTACACCATTATCCCTTTTCACACACTCCTTTTCACACACTACATTGTACAACCACAAAAAGCAGCCTTATCCCGTTAATGCAGCCGTATTGTTTGAAATTTTAAAGTCCTTTTTTTTTTTAATATTGTTTGAAACAAATCCTCATGCCGCCTTATTGTTTGAATTTCTAAAAAGTACTTTTTTTAATATTTTCCCTTCTCTCGATCCAACATTAATTACTGAGCCGTCCAAAAATTTTGGAATCTAATTTGAAACTAAAAAAATAAATAAATCGGATGCATCCTAAAATAAATAATTATGTTCAATCTTCCATAATAAAATCCATAATACAATCCTAAAATAGAGAATTTTGTTTAAGACTTACGCTGATTAACAATTCAGATTCTAATTTCAATGCAAAAAAAGTCGGATGCATCCTAAAATAAAGGATTATTTTAATCCTCCAGAATAAAATCCATAATACGATCCTAAAATAAAGGATTTTGTTTAAGACTTACGCTGAAATACATAAACAAAAAAAAAAAAAAAGAAGAAAAGGAAGGAGTTTAATTTTTAAAAGTGAAGGTTCAAAACCTATCGCCTCTGCCCCATTTTTTCGGCCGTCAATCTCAGCAGTAAACCTCCTCTAGATAAGTAAGGTTCACAACTCAGCCGGCCCTATTTTCTTATCGCCCCTCTCAGCAAAGCCGGAGCCCATTTCAAATCAACGCCCGAGAAACCGAGCATCTTTACCTCTTCCTTTTTCCGACAAGAGGTACTTAGGCTGAGCCTTGAGTTATCTCTTTTTTGGCCGAGTTTATGTTGAGAAAATTTAGAAAAATGAAGCATATTTGTGGTTTTATTTCTCTGAATTGGGAAGTAAACTCAGCCAGTTATCTTATTGTTTATACGCTGTTTACATGTTACATTTTGAGTTAAGGATTAATGAAGGAAGTTTTATTTTGTATGTTAAAAAGCATTCATAGAATGTTATAGAAAGAGGAGCATGTATTACATTAATGTTGCCTTGATTTTTGAAAGGTATTGGCGTATTGGTGAGACATGCTGAGCCTTAGTTTGGTGTTAGTATATGCTGCAAATATGGGACTTATGTTTGTAAATTTCAGTTAAAGAAGTAAAGTTAGGATGTTTAAAGGTTTAATAAGAACTAAGAAGGAAGAATTTTATGTTACATATACTTGTAAATTTTAGTTAAAGAAGTAAAGTTAGGATGTTTAAAGGTTTAATAAGAACTAAGAAGGAAGAATTTTATGTTGAGGCCTTGAATTAATTATTTTTCTGGGCATGCTATTCAACCGTGCTATTGTTGAATTCATCTTGCGATTATGTTCAATTTCCAGAGGTTAAGCACCTACTGCATTCTATTTTCAGCAGTTTTTTAATTTTTTTTTTTAAATTATTCCCAAAAAATCGATGCATCCTAAATTTATGGGTTTTGTTTGTTTAATTTAGGTAAATTTCGATTTATCACTTTTTATTAAAAAACCGATTAGCATAAATCAAGAATTTCGAATTAGGCAAAATACTATCACATATATATTTTTTCTAATTGCAGCATATGATTTGTTTAGTAAAAAAATCAGATTGCATATCAATCGAGTTAATTTAGGTAAAATTCGGCATTACAATTTTGTAAAAGTCAAAATTCTATATTTTTTATTTGAAAAAATATATTTACCATAAAATCAGAAATTTTGAATTAGGCAAAATGATAACATGTGTCTTTACCTAATTGTAACAGATCGTGTTTATTTAAAAAAAAAAATCGAATTGCATAGAAAATGAGCTCAATTTCAAATTGAAAACTAAAATTTATAAATCCCCTATCATTGGCTACTACTTTCTTTAGCTTGTTTGTTTTTTTTTATTAACGTAAAGCAGAATCAGATAATATTAATTTGAAATTCAAAATAAAATTAGATTGGAACATCCTAAAAACTTGGATTTTGTTTAATCCTCTAGAATACAAATTTGAAATTGATTGAATAAATGTACACAATTTTTTCCTTCCTTAAATTAAGAATTTACAATTTTAATATAATAAGGCTATAGATTATTAAGAAAGACGTCTTACAAACTCTATTATATTTGGCTATGCAATCTTCATAAAACCAGTATAAATCATATCATATATATCCTGCTAAATAATTTAATAGATTTATTTAAGCCTATCTAGAATCCTAATATATATGGGTGTCAAGTGTTTTTTTTCTTAGATATGGTCTACACAGATGTAGGTTGTTTTCTGCCGGTGGAGTTTCAGCCTGAGTCTTTTAATTACTTCGGCACTCGGGGGCGGTGGTCATTACCTTCAGATTTAGCCAAAATGCACATGGACATAGATAAAACGATACATAACACCATTAATTTGGATTTGTATTTGATTACATAACCTTTACGACCAGATTTATGTATCTGTTTTACGACCAAATAAATAATGTTCTGTACAAGGATGTGTTTAAAAATATATATGTTATATTTTGTTTATTCCAATACATGCGTTTTACATTCTTCTAATCATCCAATCATCAAAATCTAAATGCTTACGTTAATAAAATTAGCCCGTGCATTGCACGGGTACCGCACTAGTATTTCAGATAGATACAAACCTTTATATGTACTAGTGCGTGGCCCGTGCGATGCACGGGAAAACAATATTATGATTGTATTATAAATTAAATATATAAATAACATTAATCATGATTTATCCATTGTTTTTAAATTAAACCGGTTGAACACAGTACGACCGGAAGGACAGAGAACCGGTTTATAACCACTCTAGTTCGCTCGAATAAAATATTTTCTCTCGAATCCGTCAATACCAGTCAGTTGAAATGGTAGGATCGATACGATTTTCTAAATAAATTATTTTAAATAAAATTAAATATTTAAATAACATAGAGATTTATAAATTATTTATCAATTAGTCTAAACATTTGAATTTATAAATTGTTTAGATATCTAAGTAACACATTTTATTTAAATTTATTACAAAAAGTACTATATATATATATATATATATATATATATATCTATTAAAATGTTTATAAATTAAATTCTGAACAAACCAAAAATGATTTAATAAAATAACTTGATCGTTTCGATGATGGTCCAGTTCTAAAAACCTTATATTTACTCTACATTAATAAATATTATAATAAAATATTATTTAATTCACATAAATATTAATAAAATGATATATAAGTATTCATAAATCATTAAACATGTTGTCATAAAAGTATTGTTAATACGATTATTTGAAGTTTGGACTACATCACATTCACGTAATAAAATATTTTCAATATAAAATTTATATTTAGGTGCAATAATCGATTTGGTGTAGTCGAACTGATACATAACTTCGTCACCTGGGACCAACCATGTTGTGTCAATTTTTTTGACTATTTTAAATATCACATAAAAGTAATTCAATCGACCTGGGCAGTACCCTAATTCAATCACCCAAATGATCCGAAGAAATTTTCTTATTTTCTTTAAATATATTTACTTTTATGAAATAAAAATATTTTATGATTCATATAATAAATGTCTATATCAAATGATATTATATTAAAGTTATAAATTATATATCTAAAGATGAATTAATTATTTTTATTTTATGCATATTAATAAAAAATAAACATAGTAATTTTTAAAAAAGTAAGATTAATTGATTGATTATACAATTTAAGAATATTTTTAGCGTTGAATATATTTTTTTAAATGCACAAATATAACGACCGAGATTCTAAAAGTTTTGTTATATTTTGAATTGAGATTTCATAAATATAGAGACCGAGATTTTAATGTTGTTCGTTGTTTCTAAGAAAAAAATAAAAATAAAAACATACACACTTAATAAATCTTAGCCGGATTTTTTAAATAATAAAATGAACTAAAACCTAAAATTTAAGGTAGAATTTAATGTTGTATGATTTTTAAAGAAAAAAATAAGAAAAATAAAACTTACTATTTATATGTTGCATTAAATTCTAACCTATTTTTTTGCTACTATTTTTGGTAAATGATAATTCTTGTTATATTTATATAGATAGATAATAAATTAATTAATTAAGATGTGGACATATTTTTGGACGTTTTGAATAAATAAGCTACGTTGAATTCAAAATATGATTATTCTTAAGTGAGGTTTTCCATCATGAGTTATCCAAAGATTATTGTTCCAATATTATCTCTACACCATTAATTTTGATTTCAAATTGTGATTTTTCCGTGAATAATAAACTACACAATTATTGTTTTCAGCTTTCTACAAATAGAATGTCAAATGTATTATTTATTTGGTCAAAAGTTTCCAAAAATGATTTATCTAACAACCTTTTTATATATAGATAGATATATAAAAGAATTCATATGAGAATGGTATACTGTGAAAAAAATAAGAATGATCACGGACCATTGGATCAATTATATTAATGGACATGATGCGTTCAAAATTGAGTTATAATGGTCAAACCTGCAGTGCAAAATTGTAATTATATTACTATCTCATGGACAAATAAATACATTGGAGGGCAGTGGCGTAATTTCACTAAATAATAAATTCAGTGGGCCATACCCATAATTCTTGCCAACAACCCCTCTCTCCTCTCTCCTATCTCTCTCTCTATTTCTATCTATCACTCTATCTCTCCGATGCCCACTGACAGCTCATAGCACAACCATAGGTCGTCGATTCCGGTACGCCACCGCCGCCGCAACCGTAACGAGCCTGTAGGTCATGTCGCCGCTGTCGTCAGACCCGGTGCTGGCACTGTTCGCCGAATCCGGCAACTCGTCTAGAGCTCACGGTGAGAGTGCTCATGTGGACGGCCACCGTAATCGCCACCGTCAACAAACCTTCACCTCGCCTCCTTCTTCATCCACCAGTCCGCCGCTTCGTCTCATCCGTCCGGCCACAACAGCTTCGCCGCGTATCCCCCATCAGCCTCCGCCATCCATCTCTACCGTCCGCCATCTTCTTCCAATTGCAGCAACCGGCCCATCACCGCCATCAGCCACGCCACCAACGTCGCCGCCGACAACATCCCCCACGTTGCCACCTGTCATCAACGCAACCGACCCACTGCATCTCCGCCATGTCTCCCACAAGAGAAGTTGCAGGTCGCCGACGCGCGAGAACCACCACCCGCCTGCCGCGCCGGCCCTCGCCCGCCGCCACTCAGCCCGTCGCCGCCACAACCCGACCTTATCATCGCCGGCAAAAAAGAGAACATGAATTATGCATTTTAGAATTTGGGGCCTTCTTTTGAAAATTTGATATGTTAAAAGGACTCAATTGCAATTCTATAAACTTCAACTTACTACAATTCAGTTCATGGGTCAAAATTATGACTTATACAAGTTTCAATACTTGCACATTAATGTTACGTAAATTGCACGTTAGTGACAAATAAATTGCACATTAATGATATGTATCGTGCACATGAACATTTTTATCTAAATTTTTATTTATTTTGATTTAAAAAATAGTATTATTACAAGAAAAAAATATAAAAATTGTATTTTTTTATATAGTTTGGTCGGTCTGGTCATTTTAGTTATTTTAAAAAAATAAAGCTGACATCGAACCGAAATAACTATCATTTTAAAGGTAAACACATATAATCGATCCTACACAAAATTCGAACACAAAAAACAAAGTCGGTCGGGTTAAGTCGTTATAGTGCAATCTGGCAGTTTATTAATGTGCAATCCATCGAACACTAAAGTACAATCTATCAGTCGTTAATGTGCAATCAGACTAATACTAATGTGCATTCAAAGTGCAATTACTTTATTTTATTTTATTTTAGTTTTTTGCATAAAAATATATTTAGTATTTGTAATTTGTTAGTTAAAACACTTTATATTGTTGTTTGATAAATAAATATATGTAAATAAAATATAAAAATGTTGTTAATTTTTCTTTTATGGTTCGGTCGGTTATGTTATTATTTTTTCTCTTTTGTGAATAAAACCGATCTCGGAATGAAATGACCTAAATTTTAATAATTTGTAAAAATGTGCATTGTTATTATAATGTGTATTCTCGAACACATTAATTTGCATTTGTTCTAACACTATTGTGTAATTTGACATTGACTAATGTGCATCATGTGTTATACTATTTCGCGTTATGCCGTGTGANTTTAATATTTAATATATTTATTTAATAATTTATATTAAAAAATATAATACATATATGTATAAATAAAATATATAAAACAAATATTATTTTATATATTTTTTAGTTCGGTCTATTTCGATCGTTATGGTGCAATCTATCGATCATTAATGCGCATTTCATATAAAACTATTGTGCTATCACATGACATTCATATTTAATGTGATTAAATACAATATATTGTGCATTTTTTTCAATTAATACTCATTTATTAAACTTTCTATAATTTACAGATTTGGCACATGTATCAAAGTGAAATATAATAAAATTCATTAAATTGCAACCAAATCCTTTACACTTTTCTAATTCTCAAAAGGCCCTAATCTTAAAATGTCATCATCTTCTTACGACCCATCTCCTCCGGCAGCCACTCCGGCCGGCGACGTCCGGCGACTTTCAGCTTTTTTTAAATGCCACCATTTATACTCGACCGTGCGGCGCCGCATAGGCCGTCGGGTAGACACGATTCAGGCGAGAGCCGACGCGGGCGACGGGGATGACGCCGACGATGGGGAACGGCGCGGCAACGGGGGGACGGCGCAGGCTACAGGCGACGGGGCACATGATAAGTCGTATTATTGACATGTTAATTGTCATGTTTTCCATACTTTTCGGTGTTTGTTTGAGCTTAATTATTGATTTTAATTGATTTTTATAATTTTGTTAGGATATCTCGGACTTTGGAATTTTAAGATGATTGGAGGGCGAAAAAGACGTATTTGAGCTAAAGCGTGGGCACGCCAATTTTCTACGAGAGTTGGAAGAAGGAAGAAGTCTTGAGTTGGAAAGAGAAATAAAAGACTTTATGGAGTATTTATTTATTTATTTTTTGACTATTCTATTTTATTAGAATATTTTAGAGAGTGAATGAACTCTTTATCATTTTCTACGTATTTCCTGCTAGGATTAGGATTGGATTGATATGATTAAAAATAAGACTGCTAGGTTTATTTTTTGAATCTTTTCTTTTCTTTTCTCTTCTCCTCCTCACGCACGCCCCTTCTTCTCTTTTCTTCTTCTCTTTTATTTTTATGAATAATTATTGGTAAAAGACTCACATGTTTATGGATAACTAAATTATTTTTCCAGTCAAAGGATGATTCTTGATTTAGTTATTCATGATTTGTGAGATCTAATTGAATTTTCAATTAGATCTTTTGGTTGATTGATGCAAAAAGAGCTCTCTGTTCAATTATCAGAATAGCATATTGCCATTTAGGACATTAAATCCGTAATTGTTTGATTGTTCTAATATCGGTGGCAAAGAACATAGTTGATTACTAAGGGTTTTCAATTTCATGTTTACGGAGATTTATGATCTAGCGTAAATGAACCTACATGTGCGTTTGCTGGCTCGAATTGGTGGTCTTTCTAGATTTCAATGTCATTGATATATTAAATCCTATGATCATATCTAGGATTGTCTGTTGATTGGAGAAATAATTAGAGATCGTATCCTGATTATCGAATAAGTAAGGAAGGATAGGTTATTAGGTCGTACCAATAACCGTAACCAATTTAATCGAGAGTAGGAGAATTATCTTTGCATCCGCGATCCAATCGTTGAACGATTTCTACGAATTTTTCCTTTGGTTGGATATTTTACCTCCTTTATTCACTCTAGTTAAATCTTCAATCTCTCATTTTCGTGTTTATTTTAATTGAATTGTATTTTTATTATTTTAGGTAGATTAAACATATCAAAACCCCCATCATTTTTATTTTTATTTATTTCACGAATAGTTGCATCGATACATTGTCTAGCCAATCTCTGTGGATACGACCCTACTTACCACTACTACAGTTATTTTAAAAGCAGGAATTTATTATTGTTGGTTTCGACACTCATCAGCATAGCTGATCGTCGCCGCAGAGAGATTCTGCGTGGAGGCCAGCTGGCGGCGGCTACAGTGCTCCTGCAGCAGAGCGTGAGTGAAACTTCGGTGGTGGCGGGATGCTCCGGAAGGCAAGATGTGAGCGGCGGCGGTGGTGCTACGGTGGCTGTGGTGAAAAGGTGGTGACCGGACATTATGTGTTTTTGGGTGTGATAATTGTGTGTGTGCTAAGTGTGTGTGTGTGTGTGAGAGAGAGAGAGATAGTGACGTGGAAAGGGATGGGATTGGTTGAGGTGTGTTGTTTGATTTATGGTGGGGCCCACATGTTATTAATTGTCTGTGTATATTGTAGTTACCAATTTACTCTTAATGAGTGTGAAAAATAAGTATTTTTTTTTTTGCCATTAGATCATCCAATTTAATGGCTACGATTTATTGTTATTTCATTTCCTAAGCACCAATTTCATGTGAACCCAACCCTATAGATATAGATAGATGGATTCTATTTTCTTAATAATTATCTTCATGCAATAATGGCGAATATGAAACCATTAGTTATAATGGAAAAAACAATATATACTTTTTGAGTCGTCAATCAGAGATTGAGATTCTAAATAATGCATAGGATTTCAAACTCATAAATGTAGAAAAATTAATGTCATAAGATTATATATATATATATATATATATATATATATATATATATATATATATTTCATCATTGGTTGGTTGAATCATCATTGTCTCCATATCCATTTTCATAAACAAAAAATGAAGGAAGTAGTTTCACTAATGCTCTACCTTCTCACAACGAGTAGTCTCATCGACACATCCCAAGGAACACTACCGTTACAGAAGTCGCGGGTGATTGTGACGAACCAAATTCCCATCTACAATGAAACATCCTCAATCGAGTGTTACTCATCAGACGACAACCTCGGAGTCCACAATCTTAGCTATCGTGCATCCTACCAATGGAGTTTCAAGACATCGTTGTTCAACACCAAATTCTATTGCTACTTTCGCACGTCGTGTGGTGAGGGGAAATACGGAGTTTTCACGAATAGGATCAACGATTTATACTGCAACTATGTATGTAATTGGTCGATATACCCAAATGGGCTGACCGTTGATAATCATCGGTTCCCGGGGAGTATGGTCTACTGGCAGTCCTGGAAGACTCGGAAGAATTGCAACCATTAGAAAATATTTACAGTTGAACAATTATTATAATAAAAATAAATGAATATCATGTTAAATTGTGGATTTTTTAGGTGCACATTACGTAAGGTGGAATCTTGGTATGAATGTTGTTAACCATTTCATTTTTAGGTCAATGAGTGTTAATTTGACGTGTTTATAAGAATATTCTTCTAATTAAATTGAATAAATAAAGTTAATTTTTTGTTGGAAGAATTCAAATGCGATTACTACGAAGCACTACAACTTATGTGATTTCAACGTGCCCAGTACAATCACGCTTCGTATCCGATACTTCATAACTCGAATGCTATTCATTTTAGAAATCTATAGTAATATAAAGAGTTTTTTAGAAAAATACTTTTATAGTAATATTGATGTCGAAAATTGGACGATCAACTGTTAAATATAAATCGAATTGTTGTATGAAAATGAAGAACAAAAATAGATGAGAATGATGTTTCCTTGTGTTATTTTGAGAGTTTTTTCTCTCTCTCTCTTACATATGGAGGAAGAAAAAGAAAGTGGAAGAAGCCCCTCCCTCTCCTTATGTTTAGTTTTAAATACCCCACATGGCCACTTGCTAGTATAATAATATTCTAGTACAATTATATTAAATATGATGTAATCGGCGAGATGTCACGGTTTTGACTGATGGATACGATTAACAAGTTCCTCATCGGCAATTACCGGGTCGAGCTGGGAGGTTTATTGGTGATATCTGTGTCATTCGATTACTTTGAACTCTGTTCAGTTCGGCAGTGGACGGACTTGACATCTAGGGATTTGATCGACTTTTAGGCGATCAATCTTGAGAACCTGTTAGTATATTCATTTATTATGTATTTTCGGCTCCTTGGTTGTCGGGCCATATTTATTATTTCATTTATATTTATTTAATCGGAGCCAAATTGGGTATCAACAGGAGGCCCCCGAGTTTAGGACATGTTCTGGATTGAACTGTTCTGAAGTTGCGTTTACTCTTTACAATTTGGCAATGTTTTCGCCTCGTGATTCTTGAGCTTCGAGCTCTTTATCGTGTCGGCTTTTACTTTATGCTTCTCGAGGACTCATTAAATCTTTATCGAGTAACTTTGATTACTCGGATCGTTGTTTTGTTTTTTTCGGGCACTTTGGGACCCTTGCGCGTTTTGTTGATCATTTTAGGCTTTGGCCTAATGTATTTACGATAATCACGCTTTAATCTTTGACGAGTTGAGTCAGTTTGAGAGAATGTGCAATTTTTCTAAATTGCTATTGGATGAGGCCTGGACGGCCTGGCCGGGTAATTTGGGACCCGTTTTTATGCATGAATATATTTTGAATTGTCGATATGAGTGAGCTTAGAGCTCTTTGTCTGGGTGAGATTTTAGCCCTTTGTTCGATTGAGCTTTGAGCTCTTTGTTTCTTACGAGATTGTGATCATATGAGAATGCGTGAATGTATGATGAATGTATGTTATGAATGTATGATGAATGAGAGCATCTTGTCACATGTTTAGTTGGGCCGAACTGCTTTTGGAGTTCGGTTTTTAGTTTCAGGGCACTTCGGCCTTACGGCTCGTAGGCCTTTAGTTATACGGCATTTTGGCCTAATGGTTCGTAGGCTTTTAGTTTTACGGCGTCTCGGCCTAATGGCTCGTAGGCCTTTAGTTTTATGGTATTTCGGCCTAATGGCTCGTAGGCCTTTAGTTTTACGGCGTCTCGGCCTAATGGCTCGTAGGCCTTTAGTTTTACGGCATTTCGGCCTAATGGCTCGTAGGCCTTTAATTTTACGGCATCTCGGCCTAATGGCTCGTAGGCCTTTAATTTTACGGCATCTCGGCCTAATGGCTCGTACGCCTTTATTTTTACGGCATTTCGGCCTAATGGCTCGTACGCCTTTAGTTTTACGGCATTTTGGCCTAATGGCTCGTAGGCCTTTAATTTTACGGCATCTCGGCCTAATGGCTCGTAGGCCTTTAGTTTTATGGTATTTCGGCCTAATGGCTCGTAGGCCTTTAGTTTTACGGCGTCTCGGCCTAATGGCTCGTAGGCCTTTAGTTTTACGGCATTTCGGCCTAACTAGGCCCCTGAGCCCGACTTGTGCAATTTATTGTATTAATGATCATGACGTTTAGTCTTTCCGCCTGAACGAGCCGCATGTTGGACTCGATGACGGTTTGGCCTGACCGGGCTGCTTCGTCGGACTCGGCGGTATTTTGGCCTAGCCGGGCTGCGTTTGAGCCCGACTATTCATATTTACATGATTAACACAACTTTTACTTGGAAGAGCCGTGTGTCGGGCTCGACGGTACTCTGGCCTGGACGGACCGTCTTTGGGTCCGGTTTGCGATAATTACTTTTTTACGCTGACAGCTTGGCCTGACCGGGCTACTTTGCCGAGCCCGGCTCGTGCCGGCCGGTCCATCATACTGGAACCGACCTGCACTTAGTTATCACGTGGCAGCTTACCTGACTGGTCTCATGTTTGGACTCGGTGGTAATATTGGCCTGACCGGGCTACCTAGTTGAGCCCGGCTTGCATCGGCCGGGTCATCGTACTGAACCCGGCCCGCATTTGCTTATTACGTTAGTTACACCGCTTCGACTCGATCTAAGCCTAAGAGGACCTAGCCTCTAAAAGCAAAAAGTATATTACATTCTTGGTCTAACTCATCACATAACCTACACAATAACGTTATTTACTAAGTGGGAATACCTAGACCTATTGGTAGAATTTCTCCAGAAACGACGAGTTCCCTGGTTATTGATGGGGGGTGCCGGCCAGGTGTTCTAGTCAATAGGCCCCGTTCGGGAGGACCTCGCTGCTTTGATGTGAGCGTGATTTGACTTGGGATTTGACGTATCTTTCTCTTTGTCTTTTGTATGTGGCGTTTCTGAGCTCGGCTTGTGACCTGAGCTCGGCTTGTGACCGGTGCTCGTCTATTTAGTCGAGGTTTGCTTCCAGACATCCGTTGCGCTGGTGAAGTGTTGATAGGTCATAGGTCCGGTAGAGCTGGGGCTCGTCGGCAGGTGGAGTAAAGATATTGACTTGGCCGAAGCGAAGACAAGACGACAGCGGGAGTATTTCGTTGGCTCGGCAGATGGTGGGCTCGTCGGCGGGCGAGATGTAGGTACCGACCTGGCCGAAGCGAAGGTTCGACGATAGTAAAAGTGATAACGTTGGCCCGACAAAGAAGGGACTCGTCGGCGGGCGTAGTGATGATGTCGGCCCGACAGAGCAAGGGCTCGTTGCCGGGTTGGATGTGGACATCGGCCTGACCGGAGCGAGAGCTCAACGGCGGGCGTGATAATGACGTTGACCCGACAGAGCAGGGGCTCGTCGCCAGGCTGGATGTGGTCGTTGGCCTGGCCGGAGCGAGAGCTCAACAGCGGGCGTAATATCACGCCCTAGCATATGTCGCACCACATAAAAGGAATTATTTTATTTAGGAAAATGCTACAAGTACATAATAAATGTACATAGAGGTGTACATAACTGGAGTGAGGTCCATTTTGATTTTTTTTTTTATTTTTATTTTTGGTCGGACCCAACTAATGTGAGTATCATGTACATCTCTATGTACATTATTATGTACCTATAGCGTTTCTCTTTTTATATTTAGTAGGTCCCACTCAATGTGAGTGTTATGTGTACAATATTATGTACCTATAACATTTCTCTTTTATTTATCAGGCCTCAAAAGGTTAAAAACATGTGTACAAACATTTTGAGGGAAAAAAAGAGAGAAAATCGTAATACTATACATGTATTAATTTTTCAAAAAAAAAAAATCTGATTTTTTAGAAAAATGTAAATGTGGGAATCAATGGTTAAAAACACAACACAATTTTTTAAATTTTATTAAAGTCTACTATTAATAAATTGTTCGTTTATTAATAACATACACATATATATTATCTGATTTTATAATTCAAATTCAGCATTATAAATTTTTTATGACAACACGTTGGACACAAATTGAACATCACTCTTAGCTTAGATAAATAACATACATTGGGCAAAAATTTCAGCTAAATTAAACATGATTTGTTGAGCCCATAACTATTGATTAAATTACAACACGGGCCAATTATGCATAAGATTATGTTCTGTTCACAAATGGCCCATGAGCCTTTAATAAATTGTCACCGTTTGTTTATGGCCCAGCCCAAATACAACCCAAATAAAATAATTTGTTTTGATCGAACGGCTAACTGTGTTGAACAAGGACTCTGCACAAGTAACGAGATAATGACCCATTATGACTACTTAAATATTTTATTTATTTATGTTTCTGCAATCTCTTATATTTCTTTAGATTTTATATCATTTTTTTTATGTTTACTACCATGGTTTTTACTAGAGATGTTAAATGGTCTTTGGCCCGACGGGTCGGCCCGTTTAGCCCAGAAAAAAAGAGGGTTAGGTCCTTTTATTAATAGTCCGTTTAAATCAAGGTTTTTTAGGCTCGGATCGTTTAGCCCGAAGCCCGCTAGAGCTAGCCCGAAACCCGCTAGGCTAGCCCGTTTAACTAGGGTTCATCAAGTAAGTAATATGCTCTTAGATTTCTTGTATATTACAATTTTGATATTCCAATTCACATGTAAGTACGATTTGTAATGCATTATTATGATTTTGAAAGATAATTATTAACAATACTGTTATTGTACTTCATACCAAAATATTTAAGCCAATCAGAACGACTAATAAGAAAGACATGAAACATAGTAATAGACGGTAATTACTAAATAGCCGTTGAAAACAATTTTTAACTAGCCGTTGTTATTTTTTTATAATTTTTACTATTTTTTTTTGTATATTATTATTATTATTATTATTATTATTGTTATTATTATTATAGCCATAGCCCGCATAGTCCGTTTAGTTCGAAGCCCGCTAGGATTAAGATTAGGTCCTTTTTTTGGTAGCCCGTTTAAATCTAGGCTTTTTAGGCTCGAACGTTTAACCCGAAACTCGCTAGGACTAGCCCGAAACTGCTAGAGCTAGCCCGTTTAACA